AAGATGAGTTTGCTTAGCGTCAAACTGTGTTTGAGATCCCCAAAGACGAACTTACTTAACAGGAGACCCACCACCATGGCCGTCATCGGTTGTAAAGCACAAGATACTTGGTGTGTTCCACGACAAGAGCTGTCAAGTATGGAGTCCATATTATGATTCCTAATGTGCACTGAGATTGCAACACTCTAACAATGTATGATTTTGCAACCTGCTTCCTTCTTCCAAAAAGAACTGAAAGACAGAGCCAACCATTTGCATAGCCGGGTGAGTACTTTTCCACGCATGTGGTTGAAGAGAATTGAGATGAACATGCCTCCCACATCCCTCCTTCCTCCACTTCTCCGATACTAGCTGGCAATCAGTCCCAGAATGTCTTCAGTGAAGGCTTGGAATTGCGGTTCTCAGGAGCTGTGCAGACAGGTTCTTCGCTTACTAGGCCCAAGAGTCCACGTCCTGGGCCAAGATGTCCCTGGGCCATTCTCACACACAAGCAACAACAATAGGTTGCCAAGGCCCACCCAGCACACACCCTCAGATGCTAAAGCCCCCCTCCCTGGAGGGCGGGCAAGAGAACCTACAGGTCCTGGCATCCAGCCCCACTAGGTTCACACCCTCAGCCTAGCCGTGGGGCGGAACTGTTCCTAGAATAAAGGGATGAGCGCCCCACATCTCATGAGGTCAAATCATTCTTGGTTGCTTCAAAAGTGATAGATGTTCGTGGCCCAGCCCCAGCCTCTCCCCTGCAAGCTGGCAAGCCGGTTGGTCTCATTCTGGGTCCATGAAATCTGTCTTTCTTAAAACTTCTAGGATTTTTGGAACACCATGCTACTTTACAATGCCCCCCTCTCCATGCTAATAAAGATAACTCCTGATGTTGAGCCCCTGATACACCAGGCACTTTATAAACACTTTATAAACGTATCACCGCAGTCTTTGGAGGCAGATGTAATCACACCTGCCTCACACAGGAGAAATCTAAAAGTCCAGGGCATGGAGACAGCTACTCAAGGTTACCAACTACAGGCAGACAGGAGTCAACCTAGACCTGGGGGACCCCAAGAAGGATAGTGCAAGACGAGAAAACTGGACACCTCACTGATAGTCAGCTAGCTCTAGACTTGCCTGGTGCTTTTCTTTTTTTTTTTTTTTTTTTTTTTTTTTTTTTTGCTTTTTCGAGACAGGGTTTCTCTGTGGCTTTGGAGCCTACCCTGGAACTAGCTCTGTAGACCAGGCTGGTCTCGAACTCACAGAGATCCACCTGCCTCTGCCTCCCGAGTGCTGGGATTAAAGGCGTGCGCCACCTGGTGCTTTTCTACAGAGCAGTTCAGTTCATAGGCCAGTACTCCCGCGAGGAGCGCACTTGTTTATGAGAACGTGGGCCAGCAGGGTAAACGACCCAAGGCCACACAGCTTGGCTTCAAGCTGGCTCTAGAGCCTGCACTGTTTCTCCAGAACCCCTCTCCTTGCTCTTCCTCCTTTCCTGGTCACCACCCTCCTCATTTTTCTGAGTCTACTGTAAACTTCCAACTTCCTCATCTCACTCCGGGTGTTTCTCTTGTGAAATTACATATTGTGCAAGGCCACCTTTGATTGGATCACCCCCTACACCCTGCCACCAGCAAGAACTAAGCGTTCTAGAAGGCTTATCTATGCAAAGGTCCAGAGTGTGTCTAGAGGCGTGACTAGTTAGTGAGCCATGACTTATTGAAAGCCAATTTTGTCCCCAGTCCTCTGGAGGGCCCTATAGGGGGGTCTATAAATAACAAAGACAATATGTGACCCCCCCCACATCCAAGGAGATAGTGAAAAGAAGAGCCAGTGGTAACGTGCCCCTATACCTAGCACTCAGGAGACAGACACAGGAGGGTCAGGAGTTCAAAACCAGTGTGGACTACACAGCCAGACTCAGTCTCAGAAAAGAAAGAAAGAAAGAAAGAAAGAAAGAAAGAAAGGGGAGAGGGAGGGAGGGAAGAAGGAAGGAAGGAAGGAAGGAAGGAAGAAAGGAAGGAAAAAAAGGAGGGCTGGCCAAATGTCTCGGTGGCTAGAGGTATTTTCTACACAAACCTGATGGCCTGAATTCCATCCCCAGAACCTTCATAATGTTGGAAGGAGAGAACAGCTCCACAAAGTTGCCCTTCGACCTCACATATACCATAGTGCACGCACGCACGTGCACGCGAACACACACACACACACAGCATGTATATACCATAGCACATACACACACACACACACACCATGCATATGCACACTATAACAACAAATAGAGTTTTTCTAAAGGAGAAGGGAAGGCAACCTATAAGTACACCGTGTCCCCCGAGTGCAGCCAAGTCACAAAAGGCTTATGAGAAAGGAGAGTCTAGACACTTATTTCGAAGATGGAACTCAAAACAAAATTGGAAAGAGAAGGGGAGCAGGTTTTGAAAAACAGTCCTGGCAAGAGAAATTACAAAACAGCTTCCCTACATCCACATGGAAGAAGTCTTCAGAAATAACCCACAGAGAGAAAACAGCTAAACTGATCGGGTATTTTATTTTGGTTTGGGTTGTATCTGCCAGGTTGGCGCTTCCCATCAGAGTGGACCATCGCGATTTATGGCTCAGCTGGTTAAGGCGCTTGCTGCCGAGCGCGACAACCTGAGTTTGACCCCCCAGGGCACACACTCACATTTTGTCCCCTGGCCTTCTCACAACTGCCTACTGTAGGCGCCCGGAGGAAGGCACACTTGGCTCCCACAACCACCAGGTGGCAGAGGTGCCGTTCTGAGGCGACAGCTCATGTCCTGTCAGTGGGAAGAGGACCGTTCCCAGACCACTCCCCAAATCAGCTGGTGAGAGGGTGGTGAGGAGGCGCCAGTCTTCATAGCGTGAGCTGTCTTCAAAGTCAACCTGGAGGTTCGGAAAGTGGCTGTGAGAAGAATCTGGACGACGCTGAAAGTGGGGGGGTTGAAAGACGCCTCCCTGCAGCCAGACTCCTCCCTGCAGCCAGACTCCTAAGAGCGAAGAGATCTTCCATGCAGCAGGGCAGGGTTGGTCCTGTAACCTACTCACCAGCTGCGGCCTGAGCTCTCTGCCTACGGCTGGGGGATAAATAGGGAATAGCGAGTCTAAGACAGGTTTCGCCGCAGCGGATCGCAGTTCCGACCCTTCTCTAGACAAAGATCCCCTCCCCCACATGGTAAACAGGAGTGCTAGTGGCTTTCTGCAGCAAACACCTCTTGACAATCGTCCCCATTCTGCTGTTGAATTGTGACCGTGGGCTACCCTATATGTATGTGTGGCCTAAACGTTCATGGGCTAAGCCAAGTAATAGGGTCCTACGTTCACATTGAGTTCAGGTTGAGGCGCACTTCGATACCCACTAATGAACACAATTTAAAGTCAGAGATCTGACTTTTAGCTGTTTCTAGCTATCTGTTCAAGCTCGGTTAGCTGAATCAACCTCTATGAGCGTTAGTGTCCTTGTCTATGGAATAAATTTAATCTCTGAAGTCCCTTCCAGCTTTGAAATTCTGGAAAACACCCACTCCTATGGCCAAAGGGTCTGGGAGGCGTGGGCGACCAGGGCAGGGCAGATCAGGGCAGGACAGGGCAGGGCAGGGGGGGGGTGTTGTCGGTGTTGGGGGGGGGGGAGTGTGATAGGCCTCATGAAGAATTAGCCCTACGCATCTCGTTAATTGCCACGGAGTACCCAGCCGTAGCCACTGCGGCACTGCCCGTCCCACCCCCTCCTCCACGGCCCTGCAGCACACACCCACGGCTCCTCAGAGACTTCTGGAATCTCAATGGATTCCTTTACATCCGCATGTTTATTGCCCTTTACATCCGCAAATCGCTTTACATCAGCAACCCTGCCGCGCGACTATTAATCATCTCAATATTCCCTCCGCCTGTAAAAGGAATTGCGGGGCGGGAGGGGGGAGTGGGAGACACTTATGAAGGTGAAACCTGCCTCGGATCCATTCAATTATCAGTAGCTAAAGTTAACTAAGCGTCTAATATAAGCAAATCCCAGGAGACACACAGATACAATTAGTGCAGGCATAAGAACCGCAGGGGTCTTCAAGAACTTCACCCACTTTGCAATTATGTCACCAGAAGGGGGTCAGTTAGAAGGTGATGGACAGTGCTGGATGACGGGGCTGCAAAAAGAACGGCCCCGCCCCCAGTCAGAAGAAACTGGCCTTCCCAAGGTCACTTATGTCCCAAGGGAAAACACCGACCCCAGAATGTCTGTTCTCAAAGCTTTCCACTGCACCTCGGACACTTGAATCTGAAATTCAAGTGTATCAAAGAGGGCGAGGGTTAGACCACGACTGCCAAGACTGCTTCCAGGATTTCCGGGCACAGAGAGGGAAAATCGTGATCCTGGATCACCCACCCAAAACAAATGAGCCAGACCCTAAGCTTTGACTGCAGCCTCCACCATCAGAACCCCTTGGATGCTGGTGACCCGAGCCCCCACCCGCCTCCGCAGGGTCCGGGTAGGAGGAGGGGTGCGCAGATCAGGGCACCGCAGGTCCGCGCGGGGGCGGAGCCGAGCAGGGGGCGGGGCGCCGCGGGAGTCCGGCTCCCAGCCCTTCCCCACCCGCAGCGCCTTTCCAAATATGGGCAGAGCGGAAGCGGCGGGCAGACGTCACGGCGCCGGGTGGGAGCCGCTGACGAAAGGCGCTGACGGCGCCTACGTGTCACCGTGGAAACCAAACAGTAAATAGGGGACTGGCCGGCTCCTGGCGCTGCCTGCGGGAGCGAGCTGACCTGGAGTAAAGGGCCGGAAGCTGGGAAGGGCTTGGAGACACCTTGGCCTTGACAAAGCGGGGCGCGGGCGCCGGGAGGGTGCCGAGAGGGAGGGTGTAGGGACGCCGAGACCCCCGGGAGGTGCCTGGGAAGCCCGCGGAGAGGAGCCCTCCCACCTCCCGAGCGTTTCACCGGCCTGCAAGGTTGTTGCAGACTTGGTTTTTCCTTACTAGCCGCTGAGCAGGCAGTCGTTGGAGGGGGGGGGGGGGGGACACCCTGCCTGGGCCTCAGATTCCAGCGCTGCCACTCAGTGCAGGCCACAGTCTTTCTGTGCCCTAGACTGTCGCTATATTATCAAGACCTACCTTAGAGGGTACTTGTGACTATTTTGAGTATTTTTGACGTAGTCTCACGGATCCCACGTGGAGCTGGACTTCACTGTGTAGCTGTGAAATGACCTTGATCCTTTGCCAACACTTCCAAAAAGGTGAGAAAACAGGTATGAGCCACATGGTACCCTGTTCATACAGTTCTGGAACTCAGACCCAGCGCTTCTTTCATGCTAGGCAAGCACTCTGGCAACTAAAGCACAACCCCAGCCCTGTGACTATTTTTAATACAAATTTATCTTTATTATTTTTATGTACGTGCCTGTACACGTGCATACAGGTGTGCCGGATGGATGTGTGTACTGAGAACTAGACTCGGGTCCTCTGCAAGAGCAGTGTTCACTCTACACCGCGGAGCCGCCCCTCCAGTTCTACCACCTTAAAAAAAAAAAGTTACATAGTATTTAGAATAGTGCTGCACACACTGTCAGCCCAAGTTACTGCTGGCCGTTGAGCTACCACGACATCATTCAGTTGGTGTTATGTGTTCCTGATGGTCCTTCAGTTTCAAAGCAAACAATTTTAAAGAAATCTTCCATTTTAAAGAGCACACTAAGGAGATAACATCTAATAAAAATGCTAAATGCGCTCACTATGATGCACATTTGCCAGTAGCATGACAAAATATCACGTTATTACATGCACTGCTCTATAATGACCTATAAACACACCAAAATCCCAGGTGCTCAGGCAGACATTGATGGTGTACACCTTTAATCCCAGGACTTGGGGGTGGGGGGCGGGTGTTCAAGATTAGCCTGGTCTACAGAGGGAGTTCCAGGGCAGCTGGGGCTGCGCAGAGAAACTCTGTCTTGAAAAACAAAACAAAAAACCCAGATGCTCATACCCAGCGACAGAACTACTGAAGTAACTCAAGTCCAGTTTGTCTTCACAGATACTATGTTTTATCAGTTTGGTTTTGCCTGTTTTAGTTTTTTGTTTTTTGTTTTTTTGTTTTTTTTTTCAGAAAGGATTCATGACCTTCGTGCTGGTCTCAAATTTGGTACGCAACAAAAGATAGCCTTGAACTCTATTTCAGAGGTAAATCTACTTCTCAGTTTGGGGTTTACAGATGCAGGATACCATAACCAGCTACTTTACTTCAAATCTGTTTTTGGTTTTGGTTTTTTGTTTTTGGTGGTGGTGGGTTTGGGGGGTAGTTTTGGTTTGCTTTGGTTTTTTTTGTTTGGTTTGGTTTGGTTTGGTTTGGGGGGGAGGGAATCAAGGCATGGTGACACACTCCTTTTAATCCCAACACTCAGGAGGCAGAAGCAGTCGGATCTCCATGAGTTCAAGGCCAGTTTGATCCAGGCCAGCCAAGACTAAACTATGAGACCCTTTCTCAACAAACAAAGAAAGTTAGTTTAAGGGGGTCAGCAAGATAGTTCAGCTGGGAAAGCTCTTACAAAGCAAGCCTGATGTTTGAATTTGATCCCTGGAAGCCATGTAGAGATGGAAAGGGAGAACAGACTCCCTAAAGTTGCCCTCTGTCCTCCATACCACCATGACACAAGTGCACACACACATACACAAATAAATACATGGGAAATACAGAGCTCACCCTGCCTCAGCCCCCAGAGGGCATTTGTTTGTTTGTCTTGTGTGTATGTGAAGATAGAGCTGCTTCTTTCTTTCCTTTGTGCGGCTCCTTGGGATTGAACTCGGGCTGTCGGGCTTGGCAGCAAGCACTCTACTTGCTGAGTCATCTCTCTAGCCAGTCCCAGCCCTGATGGGCATGTGTCAATCTCAGAAGGGTCAACTATATAACTAGAGTCAAATTCTAATGATCTGGTAATGTGGTTAAGCAGTTTGGGCTTTCAGAGTCACAGAGTGTATATTCAAATCTCAGGTCTACCGCTTACCAGCTGTGGGCCCTGGGCCAATGCATTTACTGCTTCCTGGATCGTACTCCACACCTGTGAAATGCAGAGACTAATATCCGTCTCATTGGCCTGTTGTGTGCTGAAGACCAAATGAGACAGCCATTTGACAAGACAATGACTCTGTGCCTATCAAGCACCAGTTGCTAGTGGCATACTGGTTAGCAGAGCAGACAGGGTCCCTGGCCCAGAACTGTGCCTGGATAAAGCAGAGGCTGGCACATAACAGGCTCGTGTGAAACTTTACCCCAGGGCCACAGGTTCTATGCAAACCTTGGGCTCTGAATAAACCCTGCCAACTCATTTCATCTTCTGTTGGGTTATTGTGATTGCCTCCACTCCCCCTGGGTGGATCCCACAGGCATTGCAAACCTAATGTGTTCCACATGCACCTTAATTTCCATATTCCCCAAACCCATGTCACTGGTGAAAAGACACTAGTGAATCATAAGCCTACCTGTGTGTCAAGTTTGGTAAATCTAGACATGAACTTAGATCCACTCCATCACCAAGTCTGGGCAGTCCTTCCCCCTAGTTACCCCACCACCACTTCCTTCACTGAACCTTCGAACAACTCAACTAGCTAAATTCATCTGGTCTAGAATCCTCCTGAGACATGCTATCTCAAACACAGGAGGATTCTAGGCATCACACGAAGAGATAAGCTGCTAAGTGATGACCTTAAGAAACGTCTCCATCCACAGTAGGAAGTAAACTATAGGAGATGACCATGGCGCTTGAGATACGTTGGCCATGTTATGAGAATGAATGGTGGCAGATACCTGAAGACAGCACTGCTTGGAGGAGCACACAGGAGAAGGAAAGAGGAAGGCTCAAAAGATGCTGGCTAGACAGCATAAAGGAAGACTGTGGAACCTTGGGTATGACAATAACACAAGCATCTAGGACGCCCAAGATAGGACAACTAGGGAATGTCATAAACTGGGTGCTCCTGCACACTTAAGCATTGCCGGGGCATAAATGATGAATAAATGAATGAGTAACCTGGCCACAGTTATCTCTTCTTGGCCTGCCTTTAGCCTCCTCCCCGCTGATACTGCAGTACTGATGGAAATGGTAGATCCCCACCCTCCCTCCGCTGAGCTCCACCCCATGTATTTTATAGGATTAGCCTAGCAAAGCCAAATTCACTGCTCTATGAGTCTGTGCTTTAGAGTGGTTCAATACCTTGAATATCTCTACCTCATCCACCTCCAAAGCCCAACTCAGAGGGCACCTAGAGAATCTCCCTAGTAGAGCACCTCACTGCCTTCTTTCCCTCAAACCTGCAGTTTCTAATGTGTTATAATGTATGTGTTTATGTGTCTTTCGCCTTTACTGGGGTCCACATTCTTTTAGAACACAACCGTGTCTTGCTCGCTTCTGAATCCAATGCATGATATACAGTTGGCACCCAGAACCTTGCTGTTCTATGAAATTCGGCCCCCATTTGTTTCTCTGACCGAATGTTGTCCACCAAACTCATAATAACAACCAACCCTTCTACCATATTTTTTCGGGTCTCAGAGCTGTAATGAGCCCTGTCAATATGCCAATTTGCTTTGCTGAATGCTCGTAGCAGTCTCAAAACAGTTAGCATCTCCATTTGCCACTGAAGAAACTGAGTACAGAGTACTTAATTTGCCTAAGGTCAAGGAGCCAGAATCCATAACTCAGTTTATATTCTGGAACACTTTGCTGGATTGGATCCAGTTCCTCAATTCCAGATTAGTTTATCACGTCCTGATAAATTTGCCTGTGATGATAGTCATATGATTTGTTAAAAAGCCCCCAAATAGATGTTGTTTTTTCTCCCCAAAATAAACGCTGCAACTGGAGCCCAGGCCATTTACATTTAGGATAAAGGTGCTGCCTTTTGTCCCAGGCCTTTTAAACTGGGCCCTTTCCTTATGGGATTACTGTAATGTTCCTTCCTTTTGCAGTGCCAGGGAGCCAACCCAGGGGCTCACACAAGCTAGCAAGCCCTATAACACTACATCCTAAGTCTCTGGGCCTGTCTCTGGGATGAAGTGAGTTTTATTTGTTTGTTCGAAACAGGGTTTCTCTGTGTAGCCCTAGCCGTCCTGGAACTCACTTTGTCGACCAGGCTGACCTCAAACTCGAATGAAGTGTTTCTTTTCTTTTCTTTCTTTTTTTTCTTTTTGGTTTTTTGTTTTTGTTTTTTTTTTAAGTGTTCCTGACATAGCAAACAATTAAACACCTGCGAGTCCCCAGACTTCTAATCACCTGCTTTAACCAAACCCATGCACTGGGGCGGGGGAGGGGAGGGGAGAGAAAGGACTTTTGAAGCAGAGCTGGTGACCAGACCAACCAGCCTCCTTGAGACAGTAGCCAGAACCCTTCCACTCTTTCTTCTGCAGTAACAAAACAATGCTTTTTGGCAAAAGAAAGGTAGTTTAGCTTAGTCTCTAAGAGGGTGTGTAGACCATAGAAACGGGTTGTGTGCAGCGAAACTAGCTTAGATTTCTGGTGATTGTTCCTGCATGCGTAGACAGTGGCACTCTGTCCAGCCGGCCGCTTGCAGAGATGGAAGGCACACACCACATCTAGTGCATCTTATCCCCCGGCCTGTTGTCAGGTCTGGACCTTCTCTAATGATGCTGATGTTGATAACGGAATGGCTAACTCTTACTCTCTCATTTTAATGCAGACTTAATTACAGGTTGCATCCTCTGGCACACCAAATGAACTCTGGAAGTCTTTTAACCAAAGTGAAAACATGTTGATTATTCTTTAAGGAGAATTGAGTTGATGTGTGTCCATTTGGCAGTTAATTTTTCTGTTTACAAAACAAAAGCAGCAACATCAACAAAACAAACAGGATCTTACTCTGTGGCCTGTGCCATCCTGCTCTGCTCCTGCTTCAGCCTCCCCAGTGCTGGAATTGTAGCAGGAGCCACCATTCCTAGAGCAAGTTTTTGAAATGAGCGTGGGTAGACAAGTGTGGGGGTCGGAGAACAACCTAGTGGCTTGGTTCTCTCCTTCCACCTTTACGTGGCTTCCAGGGTGGAACTCAGGCTCTTTTATCCGATAAGCCATCTGGACAGTGCAGAGTTTGTTGTTGCTTAAGCAACAATTGATTTTACTTTTAATTTATACCTGTGTGTGTGCATGTGTGCATGTTAGTGCCGGTGCCCACCAAAGCCAGAGGTGTTGGGTCTCCCCTGGAGCAGGAGTTGTAGTCTATTGTGAGCCACTCATTGTGGCTTCTGGGAATTGAACCTGGGTCCTCTGGAAGAGAAGCAAGTGCCAACAGCTGAGCTAGCTCTCTCTCCAGCCTGGGGATTTGTATTTAATAACGGGACATGCTTTTCTACTCTGGAAGAAGTCCAACTATACTCTGACATTTTTAAGGTTTTCATCTGCATTCCCTCATTTATTTTCATTTATTCGATAACCCTAAGGGACACTGGGACACGGTTGTGATCAAGGTGCAACAGGTCTTTGCTCTCATGGGACTTAGAGTTCAGTAATGAGGGGCAAGACCTTTACTTTTTTTTTAAGTAAAAGAAAACTTAGGTTGGCTGTTGCAGCTCATGGTAAATGCTGTGGAAACCCAAATGGGGATCATGAGAAAATCACGTGAAGGCAGTGTGTGCAGAAGACAGCCAGGACAGAATGACCACAGAAGGCATCTAGGAGGCTTAGCTTTGAGCTAAGCACTGAATGTCAAGAAGCAGCCAATTTTGGGGAAAGGGACCTAGATAGAGGCCCAGCAGCACAAACCATACCTGCTTGAAGGAATGAGTGCTAGATGTGTCCAGAATCAAAGGAATCCCATGAACTGTGTGTTTACAGGGTGCGGGGCTTAGGAAAGCTGAGGAAGAATCAAGGGTCAGCTCATTAGCATTGATAGCAACCCCAGCACCTGATGTTCAGCATCCTAATGTCAGTCCTGCTCCTTAACCTTTGGAGAACTGTTTGGGAGGAACCTTGTGCATAACTTAAATGACGCTTTTGCTTTTGAGACACTGAAACTTGAGGTCATTTGCTTAGACTTTGTCTCTTAAGTAGACGCAGCGAGACTGATCTGCTTTCACCTATGGGAATCGCTGTTGACACAAAATAACTGTTATCAGAACAAAAAGCGCTTCCCTTTAATTTTGATAATTGCCTGAGATGTAGGGGTGTGTGAAGATGACCTGGAGTCTGTTGTCTGCGAGTCTACAAAGATGGATATCTTCTGTCATCTGAAAGTAATTTCAGCACACAGTTCCAAACTCACTTCGCTGAAATGGCAGAAGGAATTCAGGGGAGGCAATGAAGGAATCCCAGAAATGAAGGCTAGAAGTGGGGTGTGTGTTTGCAGCCAAATGTAAAAGATGTAACATACCTATTGCCTGATACCCTATGGGGATCGGGTGGAGGGACACAGGACTGGAACTGAAGTGACAGAGCATGCTCAGACTCCCTTTCTGGTTGTGGAAAGCAGGTAGGATTTACTCATTCACTCACTGAGCAAAATGTCTATTAACTCTGTACTATAGCTCCAAACTAGATCTTAGAATCCATTGGTAGGTCTGGCCCCTGGTGTTTAGCCCTTTCTGTTTGTGTACAGGTCTATATCAATACGTGTGGTCATGACGATGTGCAGGTGTGATATCACTGAAACCAGCTTGAGCTGTATCTTCTGAGCAGACATGGAAGTGTTTTCCAAAAGAAAGTTAGCATCCCCAGTGTCAATCATCCTCAGGAGTTATTGGGGGATTTGGAAGAAGTGCTGTGGCTAGACAGGGAAGGCCTTTCTTTCTTCCCTCTAGACCATGAATGGAGCTGGCAGGGAGCTTGGAAGGTGACAGTCCTGTGGGGGATCCCATGAATTCTGAGAAGGCTTTTAGAGATTCTGTCTTCTTAGAATGTCACCGCTCCCCTGTGGATGGAGTATAGCCTGGGCTGTGGTGAACTGAAGAAGGGTTTGTGTCATGGCTGTCAAAAGGAAGCTTGTTTTCCATAGCCAGTTTGGGGCCCCACAGGACCATTAGTAAGGCCCCCAGGGCAAGCCGCTTTCCTGTATTGCCCTTCCCTATCTGGGCAATCTCGGCTTGTTATCACCACACATTAAAAGAAGCTCACTGGGTCCTTATAAATACTGCCTTCATTCTAAAGTTAGAAATCACATTTAAAGGATATTTACCCTTTAAGGAGCAGACAATGAACCTAAACCATTTTTTTTTACATTACATTTTATTTATATAGGATCTCACAGTGTAACCCTGAACTCCAGGTGAGCCTCTCACCTCAACTCTGGGATTGTTGGAGTACCAACATGGCTACTCTTAACTCAAGACTGGCAAAAGCAGTGTGCAAGGGGTGTGTGCCATAAGGACTGGTCTAAGAGACCTGAGTGAGTTGCTCTGAAGTGTTGATCGTCACGGTAAGAGCAGCAGCTCAAGACTAGTGAACTGCCATTTGAAATAAAAGACGTAACTTGCCAGAGGATGAGGTCCACCATGACCTCCAAGTGATTTTCATTACCACTAATGACCCGGAAGCTCCCCTTCCAGCCAGCACTTGGGCACAAAGGGTGGGGCTCAGTCTCCTTTCATTGTGGTTTGTACCTGTGCCAATGAGAGCAACCAACCTTACCAGAGGCATCCCAGACAAAGGTCGTGTTCTTCTTTGAGACCATAAACTTTCTCAGCTACAGCTTATTCAGCATCTGCTGACTTCTCCCTACTGAACTATTATGTAACTTTTATTTACAGAATGATCAGCCATTATTTGTGCTGCTTGAGATCTCTGAATTGTCAGCCCCCCCCCCACACACACTGTAATCTGAATGGCATTAAAGTAACTTCAGAATTAGAATTTGTTTTTCACTGTGCCATAGGATAAGACCCTCCCCTCTTTTCTTCTGAGAATAAAAAAGGTCAACTAAATGAGCATAGGTTAGCGTGAGGAACTCAAGCAGGCATGACGGTGCCTACCTGTAGTCCCAGCACTTGGGAGATATAAACAGGCTGTCTAACAAGTCTGAGGTCAGACTAGCCTACATTGGACCTATCTCAAATAATAAAAAAAATGAAAAAATTGTTGTTTTTATCCAAGGGAAAACTTTTTTAGTTTTTCAAGACAGGGTTTCTCTGTTTAACAACTCTGACTGTCCTGGAACTTGCTTTGTAGGCCAGGGTGGCCTCGAACTCACAGAGATCTGCCTGACTGTGTCTCTCAAAAGCTAAGATTAAAGGTATGGGCCACCACTGCCCTACTCAACTCCTAAAGCCAAGTATTAAGAGGCAGTACAGGAGGGCCTGGGAGATGGTTGAGAGCAGTTAAAAGCACTTGTTAGTCCTACAGAGGATCCGGGTTCAGGTTCCCAGCACCAGCATGGAGGCTAAAACCATTGTCTCTCAACTCCAGTTCCAAGAGATCTATCGCCCTCTTCTGCCCTCTGTGAGCACTGCAGGTATATGGTGCATAGCCAGCAAAACATTCTAACACATAAAATAAAAATAATACACCTTTAAAGAAAAAAAAAGAGGCAGCTCAGGGCTGGCAGGATTGGCTCTATGAGCAAAGGTGCTTGTCACCATGCCTGTTGACCTGAGTTCAATGCCCAGGAAGCATAGCTTCTGGAAGTTGTCCTGTGCCCTCCAGTGCCATGGTACATGAATGCCTTCCACATAGAGACAAATAAATATAAGTTTGAAGCTTAATTGAACAAAAGAGGCAGTTCAGTCTAATAGACTGGACAAGAGTGGGAAGTGGTGACTCGGTGTGCAGGGTGGAGGGTCATTCATTTCAGCCATTCTTCTACTGACCCACTTCTAACATAAGAGTAAATCTTCACATGATTTTGTAGGAATAAGAAGCTCAGCTTGCTGGTCATCTGTAATAACCAGCACTGACGAGCCTGAGGCAAGATTACTGTGAGTTTGGGGCCACCCTGGGCCTCCTAGCAAGATCCTATCTCAAACAATACCAAATAAAAAGTTAGAATTGTTTTTCTAGAACTACCCTCTGTTAAAGGATTCCTTTCCCATGAAGACTACTAAACCTAAGATGAGCACATAAATTCAAGAATGTCCCCTCCAAAAAGCAGAAAAGAGAAGCATGTCCTTGCTCAAGTTACTACACGCAGCTTTCAGCCCCCAGGGCAGGTAGAAAACCTTAGCAATGCAATCTGAACACATATATCTGTAAAATATTCTGAACTAGCGTTTCCTTCTGTGTGATAAGGGAACAGACAAAGGCGTGTCTCCCTCCAGAACCTACCCATCTAGACAAACTGGTCTCCACGAATGCCTTCCAGAAACCATACAATAACTCTCAGAACAAAACGAGCAACGAGGTGGTCGCATTCAACTTAAATGCTTTTATTGACAATGTCTTGGAACAATAAGCAAACAATGCTTAAAATTTCATCCATATTCACTTTCCACATGTCGAAAGACCTCAGGGTAGAAAAAAATAAAATAAAAATATAAATATCTGAGAATCCATCTTAATAAATAAATTGAAAACACAATAAAACGTTTTCATGGAAAACTGTTAATGTCAGGACATTCAGATCACCTCAACAATGCATGATCAGTAACATCACGATGAACATTGACGCCGAAGAGGAACTACAGTACGTGGATATAGCTATTTAGTTCTATCTACTGGAAAATAAAGTTCAATTTTTCTCTTAGTTTAACATTGGTCATGTCTAATTGGAACACACTATTGCCAGATACACAGTAGGTATTGTTAAAATCAGCTGCACTAGATACAATCCGAGAATATCCAGCACCAGGTTAATTCCAATAATGAACCCAACAGATTAGTTAATGCTATGAGAAGACTAAGGAGAAAGAGGAAAGAGACACAGACCCAGGCCTGGCTCACATGCTACTAACTACCAGCTCTCAGGTGTCACTAGGAACAAAAGACTCCATGCGCTTTTGCTACAACTCCGGAAGAAATGAGGACTTGAGTCCAGATGTGGATGCGATGCTTTCAAGTCCATGAGGCCCACAGCCTGGTGTGTTTCACGCACAGACAAGGTCCTCCCTAGGTCTACGGAAACCCTCGAGGGAAGACGTGGTTCTCCTCTCTGTAATGCACCAGCTCAAAGCAGTGGCACTTTTGAATGCCGGCTGCCTCCCCTTCCCTGACCGCTCACAGGGCGAGTAGTGTGGGTGAGCTGAGGGAGTCAGAGGAGGGCTCGTTGCTGCTGCTGCCCTTCCGGTGGGCAGCTGCACAGCTAGGGAAGGAGTCAGCCTCCGGGTAGGTGAAGACAAAGGAAGACGTGTAAGTAGCACAGCTGGGAGTACAGGTGACCACCGGGGTGCATAGGGGCTCCAGCTCTGTGACCATGGGCCCCATCCCCAGGGAGCTGCTGTGTAGGGGCTCCCAGTCTGCTGCATAGAAGGAACCAGACAGGTCCATGTCTGGCACAGATCGGGCGGTCTCAGAGCCACTGGGTCGGGATAGTGATGGGTACAAGAAGTCATCAAAGGGCTCAGCCTTCAGCTCCACATTGCTGATGCTCTTGACTGGCTCCAGCGATGTCTTGGGCTCAGGGTCATTGAGAAGAGGCAGTGAGAAGGCCTCCTCAGACTCTGGGGTAGCAGCCTCAGGCAGACCCCCAGTCAAATCCAGGGAAGCCACCGACATCTCTTCTGGGAAGCCCAGGTCATCGGGCATCTTGCAGGCAGGTCGGTGGGCTGCCAAAATGAACTCCAGTTTTTCCTTTTCTTTCAGCAGATTGGCAATCTCCGTCTGCAAGGCAGACTTCTCCTCTTCAAGTTGGTCTGTCTCCTGCACAGGGAGAGAGGAAGGAAAGCATAAGACACAGTCTTGCCTAAGGACCCTCATCCCTTAGTCCCAACCTCCAACTTGGAAGTTGCAGAAGTAGCCAGCAGGCTCTACCTACCGCTTGGAGAGTATCAGTCAGCTCCCTCCTCCGATTCCGGCATTTGGCTGCAGCCATCTTATTCCTCTCCCTTCGGATTCTCCGTTTCTCTTCCTCTTCGGGAGACAACTACAATAATAATAAAAAAGGTCCAACCTTCAGTAAGATTGTCTGTCATCACCTCCATTCAGTCACCCCAGTGAAACTGGCTCCTGCAACACCCGCAGCTCTTGGTGAAGCAGTTTTTTTTTTTTTTTAACCTGCAGTTGTCAGGCTGGGTGTGATTTGCATATAAAGTAAGATCTTTAGCAAGGGAACAAAGAAGCGACCGAGCTAAAGAACGGGGTAGGAAGCTGTCTGGGAAACTATCTAGGGTACTTCTGGGGGCCAACTATCAGAATCTGACAAGGGAGGGTAAGGGCTTGCAGTCACGGCTCCAGATCCGGAAGTGCCGTGAGTTGTACCAGGGTTCTACACTCTCTGTTGTGTCCTCCCCGCCCGCCACCTCCCCTCCTGCGCGCTGCCTCCCAACCCCAGGTCCAGAATCGCTCGCAGCTCACCTGCTCTACTTTGCCTCTCCTGCCAATGCTCTGCGCTCTGCCGCCTGACATGGTCTTCACCAGTCCGGTCCTGGAGTAAGCCCCAGTTGACGGGGTGGGGACTCCGTAGGGATGGGGCGCTCTGGTCTGCGATGGGGCCACGGAGGAGACCAGGGTGGGCTGCACCAGCCACTGCAGGTCTGGGCTGGTGGAGATGGCTGTCACCGTGGGGATAAAGTTGGCACTGGAAACGGACAGATCTGAACAGAAGTCCTGAAACAAAACAGAAAGAAGAAAGTGGAGGTGAGCGAGCAGGTTCCAGACAGGTGGAGCAAGTAGCCTTAGTGTCGTATGCAGCAGGGAGAGAGAGAAACATTCGGGTCAGAGACTTGCTTATGTCTTCCTGTATGTATCTCATCCGAGATAAAAGCTCTCCCAATTTCCTCCCTTGAATTCTGCAGCGCAGCTTTTCTCCTCCATCCTACCGCTGCGTTCCCGTTATCCCTTCAGCATCACTCGCTTGAAAGGGGGTTTGATATAAATATCCCTGACGTCTGCGCTGACGCAGGCGCCGCTCCGGAGTCTCCAGAATGAACTCGCTTTTTATCAATGAAACTGCCTTACACACCCGCCCGCAGCACCCTCCTCCCTCCTCCCTGCTCCAGGCTGCCCCAGGAGGGGGGATTGCCGCTGTTTGCCGCCTCGCAGGCTCTCGTTAGCTAGTCTTAGCTCGAGCCCCGGGCTGATCTCAAAGACAAGACACCAAGGGAAGAGCGCAGGCCACTCAAAATAAACCTGCTGCGCGGGAAGGGGGTACTAAGTCTTACTATGACAAGCGTGCAGGCGCTCAGACAAGTCCTGGATTCCCAAGCTAGGGCTATTCTGTCCGCTCCAGTCTCCCTCCCAAGAGAAAAAGTGAGACCTCCTTCCAACTGACGTCCCTGAGTGTCCCATCCCGGTATCCCCTTCTCTGCGACCCTCAGCGCGGACCCGGCGGCTGCACAAAGGCAAACTCACCTGTGCGTTGACAGGGGATCCCATGCTGGAGAAGGAGTCGGCTGGGGAATGGTAGTAGGAAAGATTGTCCCCGGCCGGGGAGGCACTGCTGCACCGGGAGGATGATGCCTCGTAGTCGGCGTTGAAACCGGAGAACATCATGGTCGAAGTTTAGGGAAATCCGGGCGAGGGGTCCAGGGACAGACACTGGTGGGAGCTGCGGAGCAGAGCTGGGCTGGGAGCGCGATCACTGCTCGTTCGCGGCGCCGCTGGCTCTATCCAGTCTTCTCAGTAGCTAGCTGCAGTCGCGGTTGGAGTAGTAG